TGAACATCGTTAGATGATGGGGAGTAGATAAGGTAGGTTGACTCTTGAAAGGGCTATCGTTATCCGATGCAAGACATAATTAAGGTTCCTAAAGTATGACATCATCTATATCAAAGTTTTTAGGAAGCTTACCATTCATATCTAGGACGAACTCATCTCTCGAGGCGTTCACGTGAGAAACATGACTTTCATCTCGAGCCTCTAAGCTATGATTCGATTCGTTGGACATGACGAACTCCTACAATCAAATGAATAAAGAAGACACCATCAAAATTTCAGTATTGGATGAGTACACATGAACTTAGGGGCATTATCCATTGTCGCTTACCATTGTGAAACCAAGTTCTCTTCTATAATCTATACCTGAGTGTGTGAGATTGTGAATTGTTATTGATACTATTTGAAATCGGGTTCCTTATTATGGTTACCTAATTGCTATGTGACACCAAGTGTTATTGATGAGTGTTTAATATTGCATACATTTATTGTTATTTACTCATTTGTCGTTTGGATATTACAAATATGTTTTTTTGGATTTATTTTGGACATGAGCTTTATTGGATTAATTAGACCAAAAAGTAGCAGATTTCGATGGTCAGTCAGCGTCTTCTAGAAGACAAGTTGAATTATCTTGAATATTTAATTGGAAATTACCTGGCATAAGGTTATCCCTAAGATGAAATATAATTCAATCAGAAGTACAAGACTTAAATATTTATTTTTATATTTTGTGATAAACCTTTTAAATTTAGGATTATTAGTTTGATTATTTGATTATTATTTTATTTAGGAATTAGTTATTTTATTAGAACTCTTTGTAGGATTTTTAGTTTGATTAACTAGTGACTATAATGTAATTTGTAAAAGTTTAGGGACTAAAAATGTTATTCTTGCAAAGGAGGAATTGTCTCTCGACATTGATTTTGATGCTGTTGCGAGTATGACAGAAGGATACTCCGGGAGTGATCTTAAGGTTCCATTGTCTACTCTTTTCGTAACATCAGATAAATATTTTCCTGTACCTTTTAGCTGACTGCTTGTTTATTTTGTTATATTGCAGAATCTATGTGTAACTGCTGCACACAATCCTATTAAAGAAATTCTGGAAAAGGAGAAAAAGGTTGGTACTGTGGTCAATGATCGGTGTTTACTATTTCCATTTTATGGAAGGATTTTGGCTCGTGTGTTTGTCCATGTAATGATATTGATTTCATGAAGTTCAAATTAATGGCCATAGCCAGATGGAATGATTTGGTCTTAGTAGTCAGAATATCAATTGTTATTGTGGGCGTTGAATTGACCATGTTATGTGGGCTAGAATAGGAATGAAATCATGCTTAGACTTGCTTAAGATGGAAGAAGTTCATGCTTGAGCTTGAGTCAAAATTTGAGGCTCAAAGCTAGGCTTCAGCTTGATTGAGTTTCAAAGTTGGAGCTTCATTCGAGATAAAGATCAAATTGTTCAAGTTCTTTCAATTATATCCATTTAACTAGTGAAAATTTGGCTTGCTCGATAGCTCAAGTTGCTCTAGCTCGATTTGATGATGTACAAGATGAATTCTAGATTTTTTAGTCAAACGAGTAGCTCATGAACCCCAATGTCTTATTTACACCCCTAGGCTATTATTGATTATCATATATAACAGTGCAAATGCTTGATGCGACCTCTCCAAGTGTATCAATGAAACTGATTTCTAAGGTCACAACTTCCCAAGTATACCTTTCTACCAGTATGCAAAACTTTACTGCTTAGAGTTGTGTTTTCGTTTTGATTTCTAAGGTATTGGAACGATCATCTCAATATTTGCATGTTGCCAATGCGTTTTGTTTTCTTATGGCAGGAACGAGCTGCTGCTCTAGCAGAAAGCAAACCTCCTCCCTCTTTAAGTGGGGACGCCGATATGCTCTCCAAACATGGCGGACTTCAGATATGCTCGCGAGCTGGTAATAGAATTCCAAGAATTCCGACAGGTCTCTCTTTTTCCCTACAGAAAAATTTGCTAACCAAGCTACTACCTTAAACAGGTATGTGAGAGCATATCGTCCGAGTCTGTAAACATGACTGAGCTTCTTCAATGGGATGAGCTCTATGGAGAGGGTGGCTCTAGAAGAAAAATGCCCCTCAGCTACTGTATGTGAAATCTTCTTTGTACAAATGGGTTTGTTTTCTTCTAAACTCTCCGCTTTTGTTCTCAAAGTCTGCATGCAAGTCATTTTACCATGTTGTGTGGGGTTCTTCATTGGGAAAGCTATTTTGTATGTAAAATGAAGTATATATTTTCTTTTTCAGTTTTAGCTTCTCGGTCTTTCTTGGGAATGGGTGATATTTTAAGGCACTGAAACCTCGCCGGTTTTGTTTTCTTCCCCACCGGAGTGATAATAAATATTATTAAATATTATTAAATCATTGATGAATATTAAAGGTATTATATATAATAATAATCTCGTGAAAGAAATAGAAATGATTATTAAATATTATTAAATCAGTAATACACTCTGTTTTGAAAATCGGATCGGATCGACCGGTTCAATCGGGAACCGTTGTTTAGTCCGGTTCAATCTAAATCGGTTAAACCGCTACTAGTGAACCGGCTAGAACCGTTGAACCGTTCGAATCAGACCGGCTGAAAACCGGAAAAACCCGGAAATTTTATTTTATTTTTTAAAAAAATTAAACCAAACGTCATTTGTTAAATGAGCCAAGTTGAACTCGAGTATTGCTGAGCTCGACTCGAACTTGAAAACTTTAAAAGTAAGCTCAACTCTACTCAAACTCACAAGTTAAAAATTATCAAGTTCAACTCGAACTCAAAATATAATATTGAAACTTGAACTCAAAAAGGCTTGAACTAAAAAAAATTTTAGAAGCTCAATTGAAGCCTAAAATTCGAGCTTGATTGAAGTGAAAGAATAGTTCACTCAATGCTCACCAAAAGGCTTCATGATTTTGAATGCCAAATTACCTCTATTATTTATAGAAGTTAGTTGTGATGCTCTTTTATGTTTCTTAGTAATGTGAGATTGTTTTGTTCTCATATTTTTACTCTTTAGACTTTTGGGATGCTCTTCTATATTTCTTAGTCATGTGGGATTGTTTTTTAAAAAAAATTAAACCAAACAATATCATTTTATTATGATTTTTTTAGCCCCAAATTTATTTTTTAATTATAGTTATATAATTATATTTATTATTTAATATGTTTTACCTTAAATATTATGTTGTAGTTAATTTGAATCATTTTGTCTCACTTGATTTTGTGGTTTTTAATTTATATATGTTATGACTTGCTTTGAATATGAATTGTGATATAAAAAATTATTTTTTTATTAAATATTTTTGATATTTTTATTTAATTTTTTAAATAATTATGACGTTGTCCGGTTCTTCCGACCGATCAGACCGATTCGACTGGTTGAACCAGTGAACCGATAGCATGACCGATTCACTAACCGGTCTAGTTTCTGAAGACTATGGTAATACATATTTAACCTTAGGGTAAAGTATAGTAATGGTCACTGAACATTTCTGAAGCTTGCATTTAAGTCCCTCAACTTTTAAAACTTGCAATACAGTCCCCAAACATTTAATTTGTTTGCAATATGGTCCCCGCACCTATGAAAATTAGGATAAATCATATAAATGGTCATTGAACTTTTTAGGCACTTGAATTTAGGTCCCCCAACTTTGAAAACTTACAAAACATTCCTCAATTTCATTATAAATCCCAAATTTCAAAGTAATTCAATTTCATTCTAAACCCTAAATTCCAAAATAATTCAATTACATTCTAAACCCCAAATTCTAAAATACTTCAATTTAAGGAGAAATATAATAGATTATCTTTAAGAACGTGATAGCGTTTTGATTTTTTTACTTTTGTGAAGAAAAAAATACACTCCCTCCTCGTAAATGTAAATTTAGTGATCTTCAATAATTTAAATATAAAAAATGATTATGGAAGAAATTGAATAAAAAAATACAATCTCTCAATGAAAAAAAATTAAGAATCAAAATCCCCAATTGACGTCCTTATAATTTTTATTTATTTCAATTATAATTTAATTTTTTTAATAGTTTAATGTGATTATAAGATAGTATTTATTCAAAAAAATTAATTTATTAACAATATAGATATACCCTACAAACACAATTGTTTGAATTTAAAACTTTTAAAGAAAATAACATTTTTTACCTATATTAAAAAATTAAAAAATAGATCGTGCTAGAACTAAAAGAATACGTGACCATGAAATAGAAAGTTTACGTATGCTACGAAAACATGGCACAAACCCCATCTTTTTTGAGTTGATTGTTATCATCAACTTAGGGTATATTATTAAATTATTGATTTTTTATTTATTTTTGAAGTAGTCAACTTCAGTGTTTATTTTTTTATTGTGTTTTTTATGATTTTATTAAATAATTTTCTACAAAAAATATTCGATGTATAAGTAAATAAATATTTAATTATCATGGTTATTTATATTTTAATTATAATAGAAATAATATAAAAAATAAATATATTTATACATCATTACTATAATTAACATAACTCGTATATAATTTTGACTCTGCTATTTATGTAGTCTTAATATTTATGTGAAAGATATAAAATATTAACACGTATGATTAGATATAAAAACATACACAAATAATCAGAAATATATTATTTTTAAATAAATGAAATATTATCATACATTCTTACTATTGAAAAAAAATTCATGTCTTTAATTTAATATTAAAAAATTATCATATGTTTTTAAATATAAAAAGTAAATTAATTAATAATTTAGTGACATTGGCGTTGTTTATAAAAAAGACAGAAATTGAAGTATTTTAGAATTTGGGTTTTAGAATGTAATTTAATTATTTTGGAATTTAGAGTTTAGAATGAAATTGAATTACTTTGGAATTTGTGGTTTAGAATGAAATTGAGAATTGTTTTGTAATTTTTAAAAGTTGGGGGACCTAAATTTAAGTACCTGAAAAGTTTAGTGACCATTTATATAATTTACCCTAATATTCATAGGTGCGGGGACTATATTGCAAACGGATTAAATGTTTGAGGACTGTATTGCAAGTTTTAAAAGTTGGGGGACTTAAATGCAAGTTTCGGAAATGTTCAGTGACTATTACTATACTTTACCCTTAACCTTATTTGTACGATAAAAATAGAAAGATCTAAATCATCGGAAGTACATGGATGATGGATCAGCAAATGATTATTTTAGATTAAATGTTAGAATTTTTAATGAAAAGCTTTATTTTAGAAAGATATATATAGTAAAGAAAAGAAATGGAGAGATGTGACAAAAGTAATGTGGAAGAAAAAGGACAAAACAGTAACTTTGGAACAGGTCGAAAAGATCGGAGGCTGAGTTGTTGAGTTTGAAGCTTTGGTGGCTCCGTAGTCCGAACCGAACCAGTAGAAAGGTAAAGAAAGAGCAAAATAAAACGATAAAATAAACCCATCTTTTAACCTCAAACGCTTAAATCTTCCGTTGAGACTTAGAACCCAAAAACCCTTTAAAGAATATTGACAAAAAGAAGAAAAAATGTCGAGCAGCTCGGTGAACTTGGAAGAAATACCTTCCGAATCATTGATGAATGAGCTTCTCCGCCGTATGAAGTGCGCCTCCAAACCCGAGAACTGCCTCATCCTCATTGGTATACCCCCCTTTTACTTGTTTTCTTCAAACTCGCATTGTTTTGGAATTTGGACTGTTTTTTTTTAAATTAATTTTCGTTTGTGTATGTATATTTATATATTGAAAAATAACATAGAAGGTGTAACTTTCAGATCCAAGAGTGTGTCGAAGTTTATTCATGTCAGATTTTTTATTTGCTTAGACAAAATTGTGCAAGTGTACTATGAATTTTCAAAGCTCCAAATTCAATCTAAAATTCCTAACTTTATTTTTAGAGAAACTTTTCATGTAACTTTAAATAAATGAATATGTTTCTAAACGCGAAGTCAAAACGGGGGCATTGGGATTTTCTGATGAGTAATTTCTGAAAAGTGGCGTGCTATGAAATTTGGTTTTAGAATATGTAGACCAATGCTCATCTTGTAGACAAAATGAAATGAATTTCCATGCCAATTTTGAATTTGCATATTCCTTGTACATTCATCTTTTGCTTTGCAGCATTAGTAATAGATTTCGTAAGGCGAAATATTAAAATCCCTTACCTATATTATCCTGACTCGAAAGTGTGTCAGATACGATTTTGGTGCTTCAGATAAGATGAAGAGTCGTGAGTATTAGTCCTCTATCCTTGACGTATTCAGTCTTAGAGTTCCGTGCAGCAACTATCAGTCTCTGCTTAATCTGAACTACACATCTTGCATAGGGTCTAGATTATGGAGTGTGTTGGATACAGATATGGCTGCTTTAGAGAAAATGACGAGTCAGGATAATGTAGCCCCTTTTCCAGGACTTACTAAAGAAAAATAAGTCAGTCTTCAGTTATAGAGTTTCAATGCAGCAACGTCCAAACGATCGATTAATCCGAATCGCACATCTTGTTTGTGTAGGATTTGGAATTTGGGTTGCTTGCGTAGGGTCCAGACTTGAGAGTGTGTCAGATACGGATATGGCCCACTAAGAGATAAGTTTGTCTTTGTTGAGTTCCTTGCAGCAATGTCTGGACAATTGTTTAATCCGAATCACACATCTTGCTTGCATAGGCTCTGGAGTTAGTGTGGCTTGAAAGTGAATAGAAAGATGTTTATATTTACATTTTATGGAAGTCTCAAGCATTGTTGACTGTCTGTAGCATGTGGAAATTGCACAATTCATAGCTGTATTAAGTTGCATTCTTTACATTTCTATCAATTTATTGTCTCAAATTTTATATAAGAATGGCCAGTTCTAATTATTGGAAATCCTACTATTGGCAGGTCCACCTGGATCAGGGAAAGGCACTCAATCACTGGTGATTAAGGATGAGTACTGCTTGTGTCACTTGGCCACTGGCGATATGCTTAGAGCTGCCGTTTCTGCTAAAACCCCACTTGGAATCAAGGCCAAGGAAGCCGTGGATAAGGTGAAAATCTTTTACCCCCGTCTGTCTGGATTATTTAAATGGCTGAAGAAGTGTTTCACTATTGCTTCGTAGGGAGAACTTGTTTCTGATGACCTGGTTGTTGGCATTATTGATGAAGCGATGAAGAAACCTTCATGTCATAAAGGTTTCATTCCCGACGGATTTCCCCGGACCGTAGTCCAAGCACAGAAGGTGATTCCTTGTTTATTTATAATTTATTTAACCCACGAACCATGCTTCTAATCATTTGTTCTTGATCTTTGCTTTGCAGCTTGATGAAATGCTTGATAGGCAGGGAGTTAAAATAGATAAGGTGCTTTATTTCGAAATCGATGATTCGATCTTGGAGGAGAGGATTACTGGTCGCTGGATCCACCCTGCTAGTGGTAGATCCTACCATACGGAATTTGCACCTCCTAAAATTCCTGGTGTAGATGATGTAAGTCAAATATAATAACCCTCAATGTAATTTTGTTTATCACGTAAATGCAAATTCAGTTGATGAAACCTTTCTGCCTTCTTCACCAGTTTATTAAGTTGTAAATTAACCAAATCACTAGACGTTTCCGTGTCTTAATTAGCAAACTTATTGGATTCTTTATTCGTCTTCAAGGTGACCGGGGAATCTTTGATTCAACGTAAGGATGATACTGCAGCTGTGCTCAGGTCAAGACTCGAGGCATTTCACAAGCAAACCGAGTCAGTATGTTTTCTGTTTCCTAACTATTTCTAGCCAAATGGAAACATTGTAATCTTGTTTCGTCTTTTTTTTAAGTTATTTGAAATGCTAGTTACTAGAATGGATGTGATGCATTTTTCTAATACTGGATAACAGAGCTAAGTAGCAACCTAATTTAGCATGCGGCATGAATGTTTGTTCTTTACGTCCTATAGCTAGGCATAATCTGGATCTAATCCGACATCAGTGATGTCCAATTAAGTAGTTTCTAGATTGCTGTTAACGTTATCAATGGTTTTGTTCGAAATATAGGTTATCAATTATTATTCCAAGAAGGGGCTAGTTACTAAGCTTAATGCGGAGAAGTCTCCAAAAGATGTTACGGACGATATTCGGAAGGTACTTTCATGATGAAATTGCATTTAGGCATGAAGATCAGAAGGTGCTTTACTCATGAATGTTGCTTCTCTTAACCTAGAAGCAGATTTTCTTTGTCTGAGAATTTTCTTAGATTCTTTTATCATGGGTATTTGAATGCTCTAATTCACTATCATCTCATTGCTATTTCGTCTCAAACGGCACGGCGGTTGACTATTTTTAAGCATTGGTCGAAGATTAATGCTTATACATTTAAATAATGGGTACTTTTGGGCACTTACTTTTATCATTAAACTTTTTTATAATTAAATTACTCAACTTTTAAGATGTTATCAATTTAGTTACTCGTCATTAGTAATATATTTAATTTCAGTTATCGTCACTAAATTTTTAACACACCACCTTCAATAAAAATAATTATGTGTCACCATCTAACGGTGACAAAATGAAATAACAAATAACAATACCAATAATAAAACAATGACACATTCACTAATTCATTAATCACAAAATAAGATGAAAAATTATCTTCATTCATGAGATTTGAACCCGAGAGCTTCGTACAGTGATCGAATGCATGAATAAGCAACAATAATTATTCTCCTCTGGTAGGGATGGGTCTATGCTTGGTGAGGTCTGTGATGTCACTGGGATTAAGAGTGGGAAACTCCATGTTTGATACTTGGGGGTCCCCCTTATTGCTAAAAGGTTAACAGTTAGGGATAGTGGGCTGCTTGTTGAGAAGATTGCTAGTATACTGCAGGGTTGGCAAGCTAGAGTCCTTTCTTATGCGGGTCGGCTCCAGTTAATTCAATCTGTCATTTATAGCATGCAGAATTGCTGGAGCAATCAGTTGTTGCTACCTGGTGCTGTGATTAAAAGGATTAACTAACTTTGCTCCAGGTTCTTCTGAAAGGGTGAAGATAAGCCAGTGAAAGGGGCTAGAGTAAGCTGGTTTTACATTTGCAATCCCAAATCCGAGGGAGGTCTTGGCCTCAAGGATCTTAAGGTTTGGAATCATGCGTGCTTTATTGGCCTGATTCGAAAATTGTTGTTAAAGGAGGGATCTATTTGGGTGGCATGGGTGCATGCGTATATTGTGAAACATAATTCTTTTTGGCAGATTACATGCCCTCAGAATTGTAGCTGGAGATGGAGGTGTCTTTTGCAGCTTCGAACTAAAACAGACATGATCCTTGGATTGTTGGGTGACTCATTCTCTTCCTTACATTTAATATGGAATGAGCTGCGATTGCATAGAACTAAAGTTCATTGGGATAGGCTCATTTGGTATTCGAGTCAAGTCCCTAAATTTTATGTTATAGCTTGGATGGCGGTTCTAGATAGGCTGCCCACCAAGGCTCGGCTCATGTCTTTTGGACTGCATAATGATGGTTTGTCCGAGTTTTTTTTAATGCTTTAGAGTCGAGGAATCATTTATTTTTCCCTTGTTTTACAAAGACTGTTTGGGCTGGTGTTCTGAGTTTGTGTCATCAGTCACAACCTGTTCTTGGTTGGGCCGAAGAATTGCTCTGGGCTTGTAAAAAGCTTAAAGGGACATCTTTGTTGTCTGCTTTGCTTCGTTTGGCATGGAATTGCTACATTACGACAATTTGGAGGGAGTGGAATAATAGACACTTCAAGGGGTAGCATCCTATGAGGGTAACCTGGTTGATCAAATCAAAGAGGCGGTTCGGCTGTGGTTTAGCGGTCTGCAGGTTAATTCCAGGGGGCCAGTTAATAGTGGCCTCTGTATAGGTTGGAGGCTTACTGTTTAGCTTTGACATTTTTTCATTCTTAGTGTTTTCACGTGTGTTTGGAGGCATAAATGAATTGATTAAGGTGATTTTTGTACTGCGGTTGAATTTGAAATATAATTCATAAAAAAAAATTAATTTTTTTATCCAATCTGATGACCAGGTTTTGGAGCTTCTTTTATGATGCTTGATAGGGGTGCACAAAAAATCCGAATATCCGAATATCCGAAAAAAATATCCGAAACCGGTTTTGAGAAAAACCGGTTTTTTTTAACCGGATCGAATTTTTTTAAACCGGTTATTTTAACCGGTTTGGAGAAAAAAACACAGACCGGTTTTTTAACCGGATAAAAAACCGGTTTGAAAAAAACCGGTTAAAAAACCGGTTTTTATCCGAAAAAAAACCGGTATGGGTTTAAAAAACTAGCCGTTAATATAGCCTTTGTGACCGTTTTTGACCGTTTTTTCTTTAAAAAATTACTATTTTACCATCCTAAACATGTATAAATAGGTTGGGGATGTATTTGGTTGATTACAACTTTCTCAAATCTTATTACACAACACTTAAACATCTCTCAAATCTTAGTTTTGTAATTTTTTATTCATCATGAGTAACACTGCTGAATCTTCCGTCGGGGGAAACCTTGAAGTCGTGAGAGTGATCGAACACACTCGAAACAAAGATATTTGGGATCACTACGATTTATGTGAGATGTCAAATGGCTCGAGGCGCGTTGTAAACTTTGTCTAAAGTTTCTTGCATCGGAAGGAAACACAACGTTGAACCATTTGACAAAATCATGTAAGGCACTTCGCTCAAGATCGGATCCTAGTCAATCGAATCTTACACGCAAGGTGGTGTTTTTGTTTACGACAACGAAAAATTACGAGAAGCGTTTACAAAGTTCGTGATTACAAAAGCATTGCCGTTCGACCACTTTGATGATAAGATTTCACGACAACAATTCAACAACTAATGCAACCACGTTATACTCAAGTAAGTCGTACTACCCTTAGAAGAGATGCTATAAAAATGTGGCGTACGGCGAGGGAAAAAATGATTTTAGGATTCCAAGAACACCGTTATGGTGTGTCGCTTACATGTGACGTTTGGAGTTCCCCTCATAATACCGGAAATTCTTTTTTAGCCGTTACGTCACATTGGTTAGATCAGATAATTGGCAAATGATGAAAAGAACAATCGCGTTTGAATTATTCGTGAGCCGCATACCGGTGCTAATTTATACACTTTTAAAACGGGTAATTTGTCTTTATAAATTAGAAAATAAAGTTTTTTCTATCCTTTGAATGCATCGAATAATACAAACGCGGTTTCAAGATTGAAAATATTACTTTCACCGATTTTAGACGGTGCGTTTTTTTCATACCCGTTGCGTTGCACACATAATTAATTTATCCGTGCAAGCCGGTTTGGAGGTTATTGAGCAATTAATTAGAATTTAAAACAATGATAAAATCGATTCTTTGTAGCAACAACAAAGACTAAATGATTATAAATGATTTTGTAAGTCTGTTAATAAAAGCTTTGGGTCCTAATTTGGATTGTCCAACTCGTTGGAACTCAACTTGGATGATGATGCATACTGCCTTAAGGCAAAGGGAAACATTGCAAACATTTCACGATCGGCTTTTCGAGAGGGGTCATGTCCCAGACATTTATCCGGATTCGAGTTGGGAAACTATAGCCAAATAACCGATTTGCTTGAGGTTTTTAAAAATGCAAGAACTTTTTTATCCGGTGTTTATACCCTACTAGCCCGTTGGTTCTTAATCAAATATTTTTGTTGGCTACCCGACTAAATGACTTTGAATTTGAAACCGAAGTTTTTCAAGAAATTGGCTTGCAATGAAGGAAAACTTTTAAAATATTTTAAGGAGATTCCCCCCATTTTTACTTGTGCCGCCGCTTTAAACCCAACGTTAAATGTTGGTGGGGTTGAAACACTAATTGAACAAATTGCGTTTGCTTTTAATCTAACTGATGATGAACCCAACTTTGTCCAAACCAAATAAATTATTTTAACAAATGTTTTCGAGACATGTTTGCAATTTATTTAACTAATACGGATCAAGTAGTGTAATACACGATCAAATGAGAATGAATGCGGAATCATCTAGTAGACGTCCAAGTAACATAAATTGAATCTTTTTAACACTCTTGTAAATTCCCAATCCAAACGATCACGTACTACCACCCCAAGTAGCGAGTTGGGAAATTACATGTCATGCGATTTTCTATCAAAAATGACATTTGAAGAGTTTGAAAGTTTGGATATTTTGGCTTGGTGGAAAGAAAAGGAAGCACAATTTCCGATTCTAGCCACCATGGCCCGTGATTTACTAACCGTCCAAGCTTCTACGGTAGCTTCGGAATCCGCTTTTTCTGTTAGTGGCAGGGTTATATCACAACGGAGATCAAGACTAAGTCCCGAGTCGGTGGAAGTATGCATTTGTTTAAGGATTATTTGGATGGAGCGGCTCGTAAGCAACATATCACCACCCTAGAAGATGCAATTGATGCCGATTTGGAAGCAAACTTACACATTGAAGAAGTCGAACTTGGAATATCCCCTCCAAACGAAGAAGGCGAAGATGATGAAGAAGAGATGGCAATGTAGTTTATTTTATAACTTTATTTCAATTATCGTAAACTTTGTTTCAATTATCGAACTTGAAGTTTTAAGTATTTGAATTTATCGAACTTGGAAGTTTTTAAGTATTTGAATTTATCAAACTTGGAAGTATTTAAGTATTTCAATTATGTTGAGTTAATTAAGTATTTCAATTAAGTATTTGAATTTATCGAACTTGAGGTTTGATGCTTTCTCTTTGATTATCTCTTGATTCTAGTTGCTTGATGTTTCTTGTCTTTGATCAATGACTTCTAAGCTTGCTTAAATACACCTTGAATCACTTCTGAACGTTAGTGATAATTAATGAAGATAATATAGCCGTTTAAGTGTGAAAACATTTAATAAAAATGCTTAGAGCGTGGGGGAATCGATACCCTCTCATAGGGAATCGGTTCCCTAAGTGTAAAATTCAAATATTTCGACCGTTGAATAGGGGGGAATCGGTACCCCTATGGGGGAATCGGTTCCCTCCGAGCATTCTGGAAATCTCGGAGCCAAACCATTCAGTGAGGAATCGGTACCCCTTTGGGGGGGAATCGGTTCCCTATGAGCAATCTGGAATATTAAAATCGGTTTTTTTATAACCGGTTTTTTAAAAAAACCGGTTTTTTTAAAACCGAAACCGGTTACACCGGTTAGGATATCCGGCCCTCCAAACCGGTTAGAAACCGAACCGGTTATTTTATAA